TGGCTCACTGCAACCTCCACCCCACTGGATTCAAGCTGCCTCAGCCTCCCGAGTAGCTGGGATTATAGGCTCCTGCCACCACGCCAGGCTAACTTTTGTATTTTTAGTAGAGATGAGGTTTTGCCATGTTGGCCAGGCTGGTCTTGAACTGCTGAGCTCAGGTGATCCACCCAAAGTGCTAGGATTACAGGTGTGAGTCACTGCCCAGTCCTAAACACTTTTAATTACTGAACTGAGACTACCTGTGAAATAAAGTGATTATGGAACTTTCCATTGCCTAAGAGCACCCAGAGAAGTTCTAGAGCATGTCAGTATTTTCAAATAGGAACAAAGGAAGGAATTCATTGAGTAGGTTTAAAAGGATAGAGGGAGACAAAAATAAAAGTGAGTTCTAATTATGTTTCATGAGTCCTGCTTGTTTAATGTAACAATTATAATAATATTGTAAATGTTATTCACTGATTTTATATTTTTAGGATCAACCTACAGAGAATGCTTGAAAGACAATTATAACTATAGAATAGAACAAAATGGTTATAAACCTTGATGATAGTAAAGTATGGTAAAACTGAGAGACACCAAGGGGTAGATGAGAGAGAGAAGGTGGAAAGAAGCAGAAGGCAATCTATTCTTATTTTACAGAGAGTGGAGTCAAGAGATTCCTGCCTTATATTGATGAACTAAGAAAAAGGTGATTAAATATATAAATTTAACTTAAAAAGATGATATGCAACAGAATAAATAAAAGTGTAATGAATCAAAACTGGGAAAAGGAGAATGGGGGAAAGGGGAAGACTGTGTGATTTAAATTCCTCAGCTTTCATAAAGGGTTATCAATAATAACCACTTAAAACTGATGACGAAAGAAATAGAGGTACAAGATTTCAAACTACAGATGACAAGCAGGTTTCCTCTGTGCCCTGGTCTGATCGTCCGTGTCCCCCACAATGCATATGTTGAAACCTAGTCACCAATGTGATGATATTAGGAGGTAGCCACTGGGAGGTGATTGGGTCATGAGGGTGGAGCCCTGATGAATGGGACTAGTAGAGGCCCCACTCTAATCCCAGCACTTTGGGAGGCGGAGGCAGGCGGATCATGAGGTCAGGAGTTCGAGACCAGCCTGGGTAACATGGTGGAACCCCATCCCTACTAAAATACAAAAATTAATCGGGTGTGGTGGTGGGCGCCTGTAATCCCAGCTACTCGGGATGCTGAGGCAGGAGAATTACTTGAAGCTGGGAGGCAGAGGTTGCAGTGAACCAAGATTGCGCCATTGCACTGCAGCCTGGGCAACAGAGTCAGATGCTGTCTCAAAAACAAAAAAAAAAAAAAAAAAAGAAAGAAAATAAAAGAAAAGAGACCTCAGGGAGCTGTGGTGCCCCATCTACCATGTAAGAACACAGCAAGCAGGTATCATCTGTAAGGAATGCCTGCTTCCTTAGAGATGGCCTTTACCATCTGTAAGGCCTTCACCAGACATTGAATCTGCTGACACCTTGATCTTGGACTTTGCAGCCTCCAGAACTGAGAAAGAAATTTCTATTGTGTATAAGCCACCCAGTTTATGGTATTGTTCTAACAGCCTGAATGGACTGAAGACAATTATGGAAATGGGACTGGTGTCAGGAAGGGGATAATTTTTACTTTTCACTTTATACGTTTCTATACTTTTTGCCATGTGCATGCATAACATTTACAACAATAAACAAAATTAGATTAAAGGAAAATAATAAGAATGTTAATTTAAAAATGCTTACCTTGCTCTAATCCAGGGTTTGGTGTGCATGTCCAAACCACTTCCCCAGCTGCCATGTTTTTCTGAAGCTGGTGGCAAAAAGCCCCTTTCTGGGGCCAGCTCCTCTGCAATTGCCCTGATGTGGTAGGGCTCAAATCCACAGCACCCGCCAATGTACCGGACCCCCAGGTTGTAGGCTTCTCTGGCATATTTTTGAATATCCCATCTGGTGGCAACTCTGGACTCCAGTCCTGTATCACAATAGTTAACAGCATTTCTGTTACTGTTCTCATTTTCAAATGGTGGATGCTATAATGAGCAGTTTTTCTGATTAAAAAAATTATAAACTTTAGATGATGCATTCTTCCGGTAGCTCATTTTTAGTTAACACTGAATGTTTTGTCATATGCAGTTTCTTATTGTAAAACTGAGCCACAATTTATTATAGCCATTTGGATTTTGTCACAACGAGAAATACAAAGACCTCTACTATGCACCTGAGCTTACCAAAGGGATATTCTGGGAGGTCCACAAACCCCTCTTTGCCACAGTCGGGCGTGTGGAACCCCAGGGGCTGTACCATGAGGTGCGCTTTCAGCCCTGCCCGCTCGAGACCCTCCTTCATGAGCTCCATCGTCTTCAAGCTGGTCTCGGGCCCAAAGCGGCAGTTCACGCCAACGATGGAAGCCCCTGTGCAAAGAAATAACACTTACATTTTATTACTTATTTATTTATTTGTTTATTATTATTTTTTAATAGTTGGAAGGTACCTTAGAGGTTAGCTATCCCCCTCCACCTCCCACGATTTACAGATAAGAAAACTGATTGGAGTTAATTCTTTTATTTCCAAACTGCTCTCACAGTATCAAGCACACTTTGTTAAATTTCATAAGCAACAACTGAGCTGTGTATCACTGTATGGGTCCAAATTACCTGCCTTCACCAGCCTCACGGCACATTCTCCAGGGGTTGTATCATGCATGTCTCCCTCTGGGCCTATGCACATGGTAACTGCCACGGGTCTATCGGATTCTTTTAAGACTTCCACAGCCCACACAGCTTCTTCAACATGCTCAAAATACTAAGAGAAATGTCACTTTTTCCATTGGTCCAAACATAAAGCAGATTTTGAATGGTAAAGGTAAATATAGCAAAACAGTTATAAAAATTACCAAATAGAATATAAACATATATACAGTAAAACTTGCTAAGGAATGTGTGTCTATAAGACTGATTAAAGAATACCTTTCCGAGTAAATGTTTTCATTCCTATAACAATAACTTATAGTTTTTCATTCAGGGATCATTGATTCAGTGAGATGATGCCTATGAGTGAAAAAGAAGAAAACACACCCAGAGATTTTCAAAGTATCTGAGTATTTAAAATCATAACTTTGAAGGAGGAAAAGTTTCGTTAATAAATTTTAGATTCATCTCTTATAAAACTGGGGTAATCTCTGAAACAATGAGTAGCTTATCATGTGTTGTATACTTCAAAGAGCTTTTATATTCGCTTCTAGTTAGATATTCATAAGTACTCCATAAAGTAGGAAGGGAAATACTATTTCCCCGGATGAGAAGATTGAGGCACAGCATGGGAGAGATAGCTACTCCCTTTCTTTGCTAGTGGCAGACAGGACATCTTGTCTGGTAAACTTATGTCATTTTCTGGGGTGCTTCCCAGGAACCCCCTTCAGTGCCACAGCTGAAAAGCTGACCTTAAGGCAACTAAAGAAAAGCCAGAAATCTTCCCATTTCTTCCCTCTTGAGTTAGAAACAAATTCTGCAGAAGCAGTGTGAGCAATGACAGAGAGAATCAAAAGATGGGTTCTTAAACAAACAGAGTGGTGTCATCATCCATCTGGAAATCAAATCATCTGGTGTCAAATCCCATCACACATGCTCGGATTACAGGTGTGAGCCACTGCGCCTGGCCAGGGGATATTCTCTTGTTTGGAGTAAAGTCGTGGGTTGAAGGCATGACTCCAGGCAGTAGCAGTTATGTTGGGAAATGGGGAATGAGGACTTTCTTTTTGGAAGCGGAGGAAAGATAATGTTCTGGGTCTTCACGTCCAATCAATGACCAATACTTACTGATTCTTTCTTCAAAATGTAACTCACATGTCATAGCTTGAGTGAAAGCAGAGAGGCAAGAAGAGCAAGACATGGATGGAGAAGGCTATGGAAACTACTGGGTGCTAAGCATTATTGGTGGGGCCTGGACAAGCCTAGACAGCCACCACCTTCTAGGCCTTGCTCTCTCAGTCCCCAGCCCACACATGCAGTGCCCTCCTGCCTGGCTTCTCACTCTGGAGAGGGTGCTCCCGGATGCACTGTGCCCTATGCTTCCTTCTCGGTTGTGGAGTCCCCCGAGTCAGCTTCTGCAGCCACCCAGACCTTAGAAGATCAAAGGCTATGGTCAGGCCTCCCCTGGGTCTGTCCTGTGGCTCCAAGAGAACCTAGCATACCAATGAGGGAATGTTGACCCTGACCGCCATGCATTTAAATAAACCTTTGACCACCCACATGGAAGAAACGAGGGCATAAGGCTGTCCAATACTCTCATGGAATGTGAAGACTCTGCAGTTATGCTTGCAAAATAGGCTCAATCCTTTTCCTCTAATACTAGCCTCACCTCTGCAATCAAGAAGTCCACATTTTTCCAGGCAAAAACTTCCAGCTGTTGTCGAAAAAGTTTTTTAATTCTAGTTTCATCCTTGTGGTATTTGTATATTGATGTCTGGCAGATCCCCCCTGCAACCAAAGCATCACCTTTGCCAGCCACTTCCCTGGCGAGGTCACAGGCAGCAGCATTTACATCTTCCCACTGAGGTTAGAGAGCAAGAGTTCAGATGGTGAGCCTAGCAGTTTGAAGGTAAAATATAAAAGATAACCAAAGGAACAATAAACAAGTAAGATGAGTGTAAGCCACTCTTTTCAATGCAAGCAGAGAAGATGAGCAGAGTTGGGTACAATCTCCTCTGTTACCATGACCTTATATTTCCATTATTGTACTTACCACATTGGATTTTAATAACTATTTGTTCACCTCCCATACTTGACCTTGAGCCTCCAGATAGGATCTATGCCTTTGTACCATCTTTGAATCTAACATAGAGAATGGACTATAACAGATACTCAGTACATGTTGGTTGGTTGAATGAATTAATGGGCATTAATATTTACACGTGTTAACGTTTTACATTTGCAGAATATTTCACAATACGTCCACATCTTTGATCTTACTTACTCTTCTCAACAGGTCGATGAACTTAAGTACTACTGTTATCTCCATTTTGCAGAGAGAAAACCAATGCCCAATGCAGGTAGGTGTCTTACACAAAGCCACAACCAATAGGTGGCAATGCTGGATATTAAACCCATTTTTTCTCATTTCTACACCAGTGTTGTGTTTTTTGGGCCTCCATGTCTCCAGAAGAGAAAAATGTGAAATGAGAAGGTAAAAAGAGCATCTATGAAGTGCTTTCTCTCTAAAAAATAACACAGGAAGACAGCCGTGCCCTTCCAATGGTTTATTTTACCCCTAGTCCTGACCCCTCCTATACCTAAATGGGGAGAGAAAGCTAATTCATTTAGTATATATTAACTTCTTTTTTTTCTGAGATGGAGTCTCGCTCTGTCACCCAGGCTGGAGTGCAGTGGTGTGATCTCGGCTCACTGCAACCTCCATCTCCCAGGTACAAGCCATTCTCATGCCTCAGCCTCCCGTGTAGCTGGGATTACTGGCACCTGCCACCATGCCCAGCTAATTTTTGCATTTTTAGTAGAGATGGGGTTTCACCATGTTGTCCAGCTGATCTGGAACTCCTGGGCTCAAGTGGTCTGTCCACCTCGGCCTCCCCAAGTGCTGGAATTACAGGTGTAAGCCACTGTGCCCAGCCTAGTTAGTATACATCTTTATGTGACAATTAATACATAGATACTTATATGGACTTTTGTAATAAAGTATAGTAACACATCATCAATGCCATAGCTTCCCATGTAGAGGTTATTTCTTAATAGATGACTGCCTCCCCATGTCCAGCCATTGCCGTTTACCTTGCTTTCCATATTGTCCTCACTGGCAGAAAAGGTGAAAGTCTGCATGACATTTGATCCTGCTCTCAAGAATTCCATGTGAAGTTGACGAACTACAAAGTAGTTGGGTTTTAAACATTGAAATAAATGAACAAAGAAATATTACAGAAGCTGTCATTTTCACTGACTCCTATCTCTTTCAATCATACCTCAGTTCAAACCTAGTAGTAATAAAAAGTTATAGATTAAGGTCAGTAGAATTCATAGGCAGGATGTACTGTTTAGAGTAGCCTTGTATTGTTCTGGTGATGGGCCTCAATGACTTGGTGCAGTCACATGCAGAGATTAAGACCAGATTGGCCAATTATCCTTTGGTCTCTTAGTCCAGAGAGGTTTATTCTATACCTGTGTTGTGAAGGACATAGCTGGTCTACTATAGTCAGCATTGGCAGCCCTCAAAGTAAAGTGAGGAGCTTCTCGTAGAAAGCAGAATGCATGTGGGTGGCACCCATATCAGAGTCAGCAGCAAGCAGCTGGGGAACATCAGAGAGCAGTCTGGAAGTTTTCCCTGGCTATCCGAAAGTCATTCCTTCCTCTCCTTCACCACTTTCGCCCCTCCTCCCGTATCCTTACTCTTGTTATTCCAGCACTTTCTTCCCAGTTTAGCAAAAAGGTCTTTTAACGTTAAGAACAAGTTCTTCTTGGGCCAGATGAAAACATCCTGTTAAGCACCAAAGGGACAAAACTTGGTCCTGCTCTGCCACAGAACTCTGGGTGTCCGATGCACCAATCATAATGGCCATCGTATTGAAGATACGCAGGGCACTTCACACAGGTTAACTCATGAGTCCTCACACCTAGCCTGTGTTGTGTCCTCGTGAAACAGATGAAGATATGGATCCTTGGAGAGGTCAAGTGACTTGTCCAAGGTCACACAGCTGGTCTGTGGAAGAACCAAGACAGGATCCTAGGTTTATCTGATATGCTGTGCGAATATACATAAAATCAGAGCGAATCAAAAGTTCCAGTCTCAGCTAGTATTCTCTTTCACCCATTTCATTCTCTGGCTTTATTTTCCCACTTTAATTTAGGAGAACAAACACACAAAAAAAAGAGTCAGAAGAGAATTAAAGTTCTAATTTCAGGTAACTATCTAATCCCATCACAGTTCTTTACCTCTAGCCAGGAGGATGATATAAAACTGTGTTGACTTCTTTGCCCTCCCAACCCCGGGACCTGGCTGTCTGTGCTCTGTTACACTGTGACTGCCATTAATCACCCTCACTATACACACTGTTACATTAACCATGCACATTGTCAGCAGGGTGAATCAGAAGCAGGAACAGCTTTGCTGTTTTAAGGAAACTCTGTGTATCTACAAGGTAAATATTCATGGAACAAATATTAAGATGTCTATTTTAGCACTGCCTGTACATTAAGATGCAGATGTGTGTGTGTATGAGAGTGTGGTGGGGGTGTGTGTGTGTGTTGTGTGGGTGTGTACATGTGTTTGTGGTGTGTGTGGGTGTGTATATGGGGTGTGTGTGGATGTGCGGTTAGGGGTGTGAGTGTGTGGGGGGGTGTGTGTGGGAGTGTGTGGGTGTGTACGTGTGTTTGTGGTGTGTGGGTGTGTATATGGGGTGTGTGTGGATGTGGGGTTAGGGGTGTGAGTGTGTGTGGGGGTGTGTGTGTGTGTGTGTGGGCGTGTGGACGTGTGGGTGTGTGATGTGTGTAGGTGTGTATATGAGAGAGAGAGAAAGGAAGAGACAGGTCATTTTCTTGCATATACTTCCGCCTTCATACTGCCATTGTCTCCACATCTTGGCAATTTTAGCAAGCAAAACACCCCTTTGAAACAGTTGTTATTTTTTTCTTGATCTTCTCTCAATCGATTTAAATAAAACACCACTGAGGTAGACACTCTTGGGGATGTGGCACCAACCTGCATCTGGGTGTTCTATCACTGCCTCTGGAGTCCAGAGCCCAGCCTTCACATAGCCTCTCTTCTCCAGAGTAATGAGAAAGCTGCCATCTCCAATCACAACTTCCCCACTCTCCAGGCGTTCCAAAATCCCCTGAAGAAGAGAAAAACAGCACCTAAGCTCTGCTCTACCTTTTTTTTTTTTTCTAAAAGCAATTTCTAATTTTAGGTGAAGATGTATTATGTTCTTAGAGCTGTAGTTTTGTTAAAATAATGTGCTTAATAATATTTCAGAAAGATTGAGCATACTGTGTTTCTTGGCCAATCCAGGTACCTATTTTGTACAATGAAAGGGCTGAGACTATTTATTCTTAAATAACATTTAATCTGAGTCAAATTATAGTGCTGATTCCATGATAGTTATTTTGGCTTTTCAACGCGTTTGTGGCAACACGGCAAGTTGTCTAACTAGTGTGCATTCTCTCCCCTTTTTTTGTGTGTGAGGGGACAATGCCCCCAACTTGCAAAAAATTCCCAGGCTCCCTTGCCTCTGGGAGCAGCCCTGTGACACAGTGCTGGCCAGTGAGACACATATGGAAGCTGGTGGAGGATTTCTGGAAAAGTTCTGCTTTCCTGACATAGATACCCGCTCCCTTCCTTCTTGTCTATTTTCCTCCTTCCTGGCTGGAATGCCAACGTAATGCCTGGGAGTACAGCAGTCATCTGACAGCCATATGAGGCAGATTGCTTAAGACATCCTTGGGTGGCTGCAGCAGCCATGGGCTGCTACCCCTGGACCTCTTATTAGGTGAGAAAAATAAACCTTTTCTTCGTGTCAGTCACTGAACAGAACTGTAGTGGACACAATGCTTCGTAATCATGCAGTGTGTTCACACGTGTGTTGTCATATGGCACTCCCAGCAACTCTGCCGGTGAGGCAGGACAGACAGTTTTTATTCTCAGGTATAATACGATGAGGAAACTGAGGCTCAGAATGGTTGACTTGCCCAAGATCACAGAGCCAAGGAAGTAAAAAATCAGACTAGCTTCTAAATTCCTACTCTCTTTTCCTTCTATTTTACCAACTTTCTATTTAGCCCACTCATAACTTATTTAAAAGGTTCCATTCAGAGCAGTTAGCCATGGGATGCAGTTTCCTTTTGATAAAGGAAGGCCTCAGGCCTGTGCCCACAGACCCTGGTGAGGATAGGCACTCCTGTTTTTGCGCCCAAATGTTGCATTTTCCATGACCACCCTGGCCCACCACACCTCCATCCTGTGCCTATAAAAACCTCAAGACCCTAGCAAACACAAACACAAGCAGCTGGACATTGAAAGAAACACACTGGCAGAAGAACACACAGACTTCGGCAGGCCAACAGCGGCAGAATGACACAGACAACGCGGAATTCGGCCGGGGTGGTTAGAGGAGAGCCTAGCTGCTGAGCGGCCTGACTCCAGGGGAAGACCACCTTCCCACTCCATCCCCCTTCTGACTCCCCATCCATCTGCTGAGAGCTTCTTCCACCACACAATAAAACCTTGCACTCATTCTCCAGGCCCACGTGGGATCCAGTTTTTCCAGTACATTGGCAAGAACCCTGGGATACAGAAAGCCCTCTGTCCTTTCAATAAGGCAGAGGGTCTAATTGAACTGATTAACACAAGCTGCCAGTGGACAGCGAAGCTGAAAGAGCACACTGTAACACACGCCCACTGGGGCTTCGGGAGCTGTAAACATTCACCCCTAGACGCTGCCATGGGGTACCTGCATGCTCCCCCAGGGGTTTAAGCTGTGGGGAGCTGAAGAAGTGAGCCACACCCCCATCGCACACCCTGCGAAGGGCATAAGAGAACTTTTCCCATTTCGCTTGGTCTAAACCACATCTCCCCAGGTGCCTGCAGGGTCATCCCCTCATTGCCTTCAGGTCTTTGGTCAAGTGTCACCTTTTCAGAGATGCCTTCCCTGACCACTGCAAACCACCCCCCAACCCCCACAGCAATCCTGATCCCTCTTTTCTAGGCTGCATTAGTGAAAGATGCAACCTTTTATTGATAATAGGCCAGTTCATTTCAGGCCTGCCCATAGCCGGACACAAAGCAATGACTGGATCAGGGAGAAAAGCCTCAGATGCCTCTTCTAACTAGTCTTATCTGTTCTGTGAAATCAATATAAACCCCCTCAGTTCCTGAATCCAAGGGAGACATCAAGCAGGCTACAGAGACAGCTTACTGGGCTACATGTTCGGTGTAGGGTGAAACTAAGCCTTGTGAAAAAGAGGCCCCACAAACAGTGGCTTTCCTCTTACAGAGGAAAAAGAAACTACTTTTATTTAAAGCCACTGTTTGTGGGGGCCTTCCTTTTTATGGAGTGTGCACCAAAGTGCACAGTCCTTTCATCTTATTGCTTTGCCATTCCCTGTGGCAGGAGTCAGCACATGACAGCCCACAGACCAAATCTGGCACATCACCTGTGTTTGTAAAAATGGTCTTAGGTAAAACCCTGCCCAATGATTTACATACTCTCTAACGGCCACTTTTCCACTACAGTAGCAGAGTCGAGTAGTTACCACCAAGACTTTATGGCCCCCAAGGCTAAAAATAATTACTATCTAACCCTTTACAGAAAGCGTTTGCCAACCCAGCCCTAGGGTACTGTCCTCCTCAGCATGGGGGAAACTTGA